ACCACAGAAAAAAAAAAAAAATCCATTGAATCTGGTCCACTCCTTCTTCTCTCTGTTTTTATTGTGCTGGCAAGCTGTTGGTTAAGACTCTGCTGAAGCCTTTACACATTTTAAATTACATCACTGACACTATTTTAACACTGAGCATAAAATTTTCTTTTTTAGGGCTTTTTCAGGCTGAATCAGAGTGAAGAGGCTGAATCTGTGTCTGCAGAGGATCATGTAGTATGACTGCACACGTGATGTACTAGGAAGGCAATAGAATCTGCATCCCAATGTTTGCATCTCTCATGCTTTACACCTGCGCTTGCATTTTCTTTATGCAAAGTATGTGTGCATGCAAAATCTGAGCTATCCTTGCACTAGTACCTGGCAACTCTGATACTGATGGATGTTTAGTGGACATGGAGAAGTTTGCTTACAAAATAAGGTAACCACAGAAATTTTGCAGTCCAGACTGTGTTACTGGTACAGAAGTGAGTGGGGTTAAAGGGTTTCCTCACTGTTAGCAAAGAAGTTCGGTACAGAGCTGAAATTCCCTCCTAGGTCTTCTGGGTCTTAATCCAATGCCCTACCTGCTCTTTCAACCTTGCTCTGCAAGGTTGCATCAGTCTGGGAAGCAGGGCTTCCATATTGTTTGTCTTCTAGTGTTATTGAAGTCAGAAGAATTTCCAGAAATTGGAAGTTGCCAGATAAATTCTAGACTATTTCCCTGAAACTTATTATAGTTTGTCCCCTGGCTTCTTTGGATATCTAGATATTTCAGAGCACTAAGTACTGACTGCAAACTGTAGATCCAGTTCTTCTAATAACTGCATCTTAACCTATTGTCATTTTCCTTAGAGTTAGTCTAAGTTTGAACTGCATAAATAAGACTGTATATACACAGAATTACAGTAAATGAAATAACAATGAGAAGCACCTGTATACAAGGTACTCATTTTCCTTTCCTTTCAGGCTACCTGAATTCATTACCTGGCCTTCACCCTGTTTGCTGTATACAATACAATGTCTCGTTTCTCCTCCATTCTGTAAAATCAGCTTTCTATTTTTTCTACTTCAAAACCATAACTCAAAAGCTCTGAATTGCTATTAGGTGTTAGTCAAAGGTGCATTTGATTTGCTGTTTCGGTGCGTTTTTACAGGAAATGTTTAGGAAGGAGTGATTCCCTCACATATAATAGTTTTTACTTTACATGGGATTAGGATGTGTCCTGTGCAGGTTTGAGTATGCATAGTATTCCACTGGGATCAGCGGCATCAGTGGTTTATGCTTATCACCCAGCTGGAGTACCCTCCACATACAGAATTAATCAGTATGTTTATTATTTAATGTATTATTGTGATTCATTGTTTTAAATTATTTTTGTTTATTATTTAATTTATTATTGTATTTGAACACAATCTAAAGAGATAATTATTGGGAGACTTCTTGTAGCCTACTCCATAGCAAGGTTGAAAAGTTTTGAAACTCAAATGCAAGAAAACTCAACATGGTAATCCACCTCTTCATGTGCACCCCAACATCATGCTTCAGAGCAGGGGAAATACAGACACATTGAAAATATTTCACAACAAAGCAGTCCTATAATTGGATTTGTAGGGAAGTGTAAGCAAAAAACTCTGAGATGAATGGGGTTCTGTGTATTGGTTTGTCTGCCTTTGGCTAGCCCATTAATAAATTGGAATCCATAGAGCCAAGTCTTCATAGTTTGTCTGTGGAAAAGAGAGCTAAGTAACTTTGGCAATACACAGAGTGGAAGAAAATGAGAGAAGCAAATCAGAATAAAAGGGAGGAATAGAAGTAGCTAGGCTGGAAGCAGAGGGAGAGGAAGGACTGATGGGGATGCAATATGAAATCTTTTCTTTGTACGTGAGTGGAAGACTCTTCAGGTGGAACATAATACCAAGTCAAAGTGCTTGCTTATACAGTCACGTTACTAACCTTGTGCTTCACAGGAACGAACTCTACTGGAAGTGGTAGCATGGAGCAGTTTCTTCTCATGGCAAAGCTGATTTGGCAGCTTTCCACCACCTTAATTTATCTAATTGAGTTAACAGAAAAGACAATTTTTTTTCCAACCCCTAGTATTTTTAAAACTTGGATATCTCACTTGCCCAGTTTTAACGCTGCTATGAAGATCTTGTTCTGGTGAGCATAAACTGAAGCAGTCCAGCAGAGTGAGGGCGCTGCAGGTGATGGTGGTAGGGAACATCTCCTGTTCCATCAGAGACACCGTGTGCCTGAAGTACCATCAGGAGCATTATAGATATTTCCCCCTCCTCAGAGGGAGAGAGGAGATTTGCTGTCCAGAAGCACCCAATCCCCCAGTGAAACGTAATGGCAGTAGGTGAGGGAATCCTTCAGACCCCACTGGGTCACGCATTTGAGGAGCCCGAGGAGAGCATCCCCCTGGGATGGAAGGAGGTGGGAGCCCGGCTGTTTTGCAGGGCCGATGTGGCTGAAGCCACATCAAGGTGGGGAGACCCGGGGAGCGCCAGGATAACAAGTTTATGAGATTCTTTTGAGCCCGACGTCTTTTGCAAGGGTTGGGGAAGGGCCGCCTCCCCAGAGCCAGGTTGAAATGAGGGCTGGAGGGAAAGAGCAGGAACCAGCAGCCACCCGTGCCCTGGCCCCGAGCGAAAAGGTGGTGTGTTTGCCGCCTTCATCCCTCCCACCTTCCAGCCACATTAAAGCCCAATTATTCACGCTTGATGTCAGCCAGGCTGGGCCCTGCTACCCCTGCTCCCAGATCCCTTCCCCGAGGGGCCGCATTACCCCGGCGTGCACCATCGGGTGGGGTTCGCGGGGCGCCCAGGCCGGCGGGAGCGCAGCGCCGGCACCCTCGGCCCCACATGGCTCCTGCTCCATGCCTGCTGCCCCGTGCCTGGGAGACAGCGCTCCTCTGGTCCCTGAGGTGGGACGGGGCTGTGGGGGAGCCCTGGGTGCTGCGGCGGCGCACGGGCACCGCGGGCTCCTCCGGCACGCCCGGCCGGCTGCTCCCCATGGAGACAAGGGAACACCCAGCCGCCGCACGGAGCGGCCACGGGCACCGGGAGGACCTGGCAATTCAAGAGGAAGGCAATAGCGAAGGGAGAGAACTGAGCTGACCCTTTTTTCCCCTCACCATTCACATGCTCACAGATTTTTATCAGGCTTTTTAGCTGCAGGGCAAAGTGTTTCTTTATAGTTCCTTCCAAAGCAAAGCTGCCGCCAGACCCAGGCTGCGGCTCCAGCAGCTGTATCCCATCCCCCAGGCCTGCACACGGAGGGCCTGCGAGCCTTGGGCGAGCCTGGCAGGAGGATTTGGGAACCTGGGAAGGGCTCTGCGCACAGTGCTGTGGGCATTGCGTGAGGGCTGCTGACAGCTTTCGCCAAATGCCAGCGCGGTTACCAAAACGCACGTGTCGTGCCAAAATCCCGGTGCCGGGACGGGGATGTGAGGCTGTGCAGCACAGGCAGAGACCCCGCGGGGTGCCCTGGGTGCAGGATGCAGGGTGCAGGGTGCAGGGTGCAGGATGCAGGGTGCAGGGTGCAGGGTGCAGGATGCAGGATGCAGGGTGCAGGATGCAGGGTGCAGGACGCAGGGTGCAGGATGCAGGGTGCAGGACGCAGGGTGCAGGACACAGGGTGCAGGGTGCAGGACACAGGATGCAGGATGCAGGATGCAGGGTGCAGGATCCGGGCTCCTCTCCACCCGGCTGGAGCCACGAGCCGCCGATGCCCGTGCGGTGCCGAGAGGCAGGAGAGGAGGGCCGGGTGTGAAATCCACGGCGGTGGGAACCAGTCCTGCTCCCTCCTTCCACCAAGCCCAAGTGCCACATTGGTGGCATCCAAGGACAGGGGCTGTGCAGCACCCACAGACAGGGAGGGGCATAGGCAAGCTGGCACGGAGCAGCTCTGCCCTCTTCCAGGGCTGACGACAAGCTGGTCATTTTCTTGAAGCCAGAATAAGACACTTTTACGGCCTGACTGGGTTCATTTTCTCTCTCTCTCTCTCTTTTTTTTTTTTTTTTCCCTTCCCCAGCGGAAACTTACTCGTTTGTAATAGGAAGGTTCATTGTTTTCACATCTGATATTTCTTTGATTACTTAAAAAGAAATCCCAGAAGCTTGTTTTCACAAAATAATGATTGCATAATTGATGTGATTATGATGTATTTTGCTGTGTCACTGCAGCTCAGTTGATTATTTTGAGAAGCTCTGAGCACTGTTAGTGCTGCCATGTGTTGTGCATGCATAGCCCAGGCTTTCATCCCCCTCTACATATGTACAAGCGCCTCTCAAATACTGCTTCCTCCTGCAGGGACTGCATGAGACCTTCCTCTGCACAAGGAAAATGATGCAGACCCACAAAGAGCTAATATGGGGATATGAAAACACCGTGGGGTGAGGGACAAAGCTTTTTCTGCATAATGGCCATCTGGTATGAATAATCTCCCTAGAATCAAATTTACCATGTGGATGAGCACACAAGTGAAATAGTTATGGCAAATTCTAGGCTCTTTCCCTGGCTAAAAATGTACAGATAAAGAAAATACAGAACAGTCAAGTGGTCTGGAAATAAAATTCTTCTGAAAACAAAAGCATGAAGCAGATTATTAGTGATAATAATTAGTCAGAGCCTGAAAAGTATATGAGCTTCATGCAGGTAGAAGTGTTTAAGTGTTGAGTGCTGTGTGTCTCACCCACAGAAGCCTTGAGAGAGCGGATTGCCTTCCCTTAACTTGGCTAGAACTTTTTAATTATTTTCAGCTTGAGGCTAGAGAAAATTGTAAGAGCCTTTCTTTCTCCTGATATTTTCATTTCTTTGCTGTATTCTTCTTTCTTTTCTATTTAATTCAGGGGTGAAACATTGCCCCCAGTAAGGCTTCTTGGCCAAATTTCCAGATTTCTGAACCTTTTGTTTTTCTCTACATGTGTGCAATTTTCACTATTTTTGTCCAGCAGTGACCTCTGGAATTCCAGAATAATTTTCCCTCCCCTTCCTGGTGCCCTCACGTGACCCAGGAACACAAACATCTGAGAGACCTCTGGGCATCTTCACATCTGCTGGTAGGTAAGATCAGAGCCATTGTGTGATGTATTTTTAACAGCAGGTGTTAGGCTTGGAGAAGGGTGTGTTGGGTTTTGAGGGGTTGGGCAGAATCTGCACTTAATTCTTAGTTCCCAGGCTATTTAGGAACAGCTTAAAAAACACACTTAATCTGTTTGTACAAATTTAACATTGTAAAACCACAATAAGGAATTGCTAATGAAGTGCCAGCCTGGATTTAGTTTCAGCTCTGCACCAATTCTCTCCTAAGAAAAACAAAAAACCCACCCAAACAAAAAAAAAGCCCCACCAACCAACTTTAAATCTGAGTCCAAGACTCTAGTTTACAACTTATTTTCATGAAATACTATTGATTGATTACTTGAAGCCTGTTAATTATTATTTAGTCACGGTTTTCAACACAAATTCCTTACAGCAGCAAAACAAACAGTGTGGATATTTTGTCTTTTGCCAATTAACACAATTTGAACATGAATTAAAATACCCTGTTAGCTCAGGGTCTGATTCACGACTGCATCTCTCCTGGTTGTGCTGCTGTAATCCTGTTCATTTCTGTGGCAGTGTGGGAACCTTGGTGCAAAATGAGAGAAAAGGTTTCTTTAATTGATACCCCTCCCCCATCCTTTAAGATGTTTAAAGGATCTTAAAGAAAAGCCTCTTTCATGGTCTTTTAGTAGAAATTTTCATCTAAATTAGAGAAACAGTATAAGCAGAGAGTTTCTCCCAAAATATCATTGAAATCCTATTTTCACAGAAACTGCTCTCAAATTTTTTTATCTAAAATGGCGCTTAGTGTTCAGTTATCTGCCACGTATAAATGGCATAAATGGATGATTACTTTAAATACATCTTCTCTGAGAAGGGAGTTATGGGACCTCACAAAAGCATCAAGCTGTGACTACTTTCAGGAAATCACCTGGAAATAAATGATGAAGGTTGCTTGCATGTCCTTACATTCTCATTGCCTTTTTAGTCAGATAATTGAATTCAGTGTGAACTGCAATTCATTTCTGGTATCACTAAGGAATAAATTATTTAATATTTGGGAGAAGAGACTGAATGACCTTTCAGTCACAGCATCTATGATTATAAATTCTCATGGCCTCTATCACATGGTTGTATCCATACTAAAATAAAGAGGGAGATTTTAGCCTTGTTGAAATTGGAAAAATTTTGATAGTTGTTTCACCAGTAAGATGGTTTCACCTGTTCACTTTTCTAGGTTACATTTGAATTTTACTACATGACCTGTTGAGTTGTCTCTGACCAAAGTCAGAATAGTTATTTTTGAGTAGATATTTTTAGTAATTCTAATAATGATGTTTAATATCCTAAGAAGAGTAAGATTTTTTCTGTTCACTTTAGTGTAGGTAGAATCTCAAACAAAGCAGAGATTTCTACCTCAGTAGAGGTGCTACTGATTGTGGTAGTGGATGGGTATGGAAAAATCTTGGCTAATGTGGTTAGGAAGAGCAACATCTACAGTATATGCAGGCTGTGTCTGCCCTCTTGTTCTTCATCTGGGGCTGTGGAGTGCTCACTGTGGCTCAGGTCCTACATCCTGTAAGGGACATCTTCTCCAAGCACATCAGATGCAAATGCCATTATCTTTAATGTGGTTGAAAGTAATTTTCAAACATTTCTATTCCCAGTTAGTTGAGTCCAGAGGGCATTATGAAATCTGTCCTGATTGTGCAAATTTGTTTTACACTGACTGGTTCTATAACTGATCTGAACTGTCTTGGAATGTTTTTTAATAAATATTAAAATAGTAATTACTTGAATTCCAGAAATCAATTCTTATACAGCTTGGTCTTTGAGCCTTTCACAGCACAACAAATCTTACTATAAAGCAGAGAATCCGTGGGACAGTTATCCAGCCAAAGTAATGGGGAAGTCACAACACGAATACAAGGCCCTTTCATCTGCCCTGTAATGTTTTTAAGCTTCTGGAAACTTGCTTCATCCCACTTAGAATACAATTTGAGTTATGGTTCAGACACTGAGGATGCTTTCAGACAGTACTCAGCAACCTACATAGCTGTCATGAAGTGACAGAGAAAACTTTTTTCTCCCTTTTCACCATTCCCAAGGGAATGAAGACCAACCATCTCCTCTGCTAGACTTCTGCAGTTGCTAAGCATTGTGTCTCATGCCTCTCCCCTCAGAGCAAAACAGCCAGAGAAAGAGGGTAGCTCTCACGCCAATTCAGTAAATCCACTGCTGGAGTTTTCATCCATGCTGATTGCACTTGATTTCTCTCCTACTTTTCTCCCCACTTGACCCCACGATTACCTGCTGACTGGCTCTTCCACTGGGGCATCTTCAAGAGCAGGAGTACCTTCAACTACAGAAATTACTTGAGACCAGAGCCTGTGAAACAGACAGGTTCCCCTTGCTCAAAAGGAAGGAACCTCATTCCACATATGCTGCATGGATACTCTGAAACAGAGATTCACCATCATTTTTTCTTATTGAGCTCTGTACTTTGTGTGATGCCTGATCTGAAAGGTGTTCACTAAAAATGCATGTCAGGTCAGGCCTGGAAGCAGGGGATAACACTTTGTTTGCAAATCCCAGAAGAGCTTAGATGTGATTTAGGTACTTGGAGGCTCACACTGTTATGACCTTGGCAAGTTCAGGGGCAATATTTAGAAATTTTTCTGGCAGGGAAATAGGCACCTCCAGGCATTTGCAGCAGCTCAATAGGAATGCAAATGGTAGTTCTGAGAAGTACAGTGTCAGGTAAGTGGTGCTAGGTGAGTAAACTTTTTGTGAATGTAGTCCAAATCCATTGCATATAAGTAAGGATAATATCTGAAATGCTGGAACAGTGATCTGAAGGAAGTGTGGACTTGAAAAGAAAGAGGCTGATAAAGACAGGAGAGATCCAACTGAAGAGAAGAAAAAATTGTTAATTAAAAATCAGACCCTCTGTGCTTGTAGACTATGTTCAGTTACAGAGAAGGGTGGCTAGAATGTGGCTGTCAGAGTTGATCGTGTCCTGAGGGTGAGCTGAACTCTTACACTGTGTTTATGTAAAAACACAAGTGGTTCTTTTCCTCCCTCCATACCTTGATGCATAGAATTGCTGCAAGCAGGGTAATTAATCTGGTCTGTGCCTGCTCATCAAATCTTTCTTGTGGTAAGAACATCTCTAGGCTTTTTAAGTTAAAATTATTTTCATTTTGGAGAAAATTGCCTTGTGTTTCAGATTTGGGGTTATCCTACAGGATAGGGTAGAGGCACCCTGCTGCAGAGTGCTGCCATTTGAGGGCCAGAAGCAGTGCTTCCTGCACCCACTTGGCCCCAGGCATGCAGATGGACATGGGCAGCCAGAGCCCTTGGTGGGAGTTCAGCCCTGCTCAGCTCATCTCTCACAGCTGCGGTGGTGCCGCCCTGACAACACAGCCTGGCTGCCCTGAGAGCTCATTGTATGCCTGTGACTTGCCATTCCTCTTTCCCCCTTGCTGAGGCTTGAAGCAGTCCAGCTAGGCACCCTTCTCAAAAGTTCTTTGAGTTTTGATTCATGCAACCAGCATCTATTATAAATCCTGTGGTAGGAATGTTACACTTTGTATTTTGAGTTAGCTGAATCTGGGAAAAATGCATCTTATCCATTACTAAAAGCTAAGCTGCCTTTATTGTTGCTAGCAAAACATCTTCTTCTTCTTGGCCTGTCTTTTGTTTTGTGTGGCATCTACATTTTGATGTGGAGATCTTTTACCATGCAAATACATGCATCCTCATCAGAATGGTTCATGTTGGATGCAGTATGTTTGTGCATTGGTGTTCTGGAAGAAAGCAGATTTTCTCCATTATATATAGTTGGATTCACCTTAATCTCAACAATGGATGCTACTGTTGTTGATTTTCTCTGCACACTCTAGAAGAAACACAGGAGAAGAGCAGACATAAACCAGATTTTTCAAAGTCTTGACAGAACAATGGATGCAATGAGTCTCTTCAAGGTTTCTGTGTCATCAAATGTTACTGTTGACACTCTGAATGTAGCAATAGTTGTTACACTAATTAGAGTGGTGTAGTTCTGGAAACAGGAACTGTGAAAAGACTGTGTCTAGAAGGTACTAATAATCTTTTGATACCTGTATTTTTGCCATTCTTTATTATTATAATGAGTGTTAATGTGCAAGGGAGAAATCATGTGTGTCCTTAATAAAGAATGAAGCTGCACAGTTGTTATCATCTTAAGTACCATATTCATTTAAAATCAAGTAGGCAACTCAAAGGTTAAGAGGTTTAATGTTCCTGAACTGTACAATTGAAGTACTATAGTCCAGGTTATTGTTAGCAATTATTCAAAGTGCTTGGGTTTTTTAAATAGAAATTTCATTTTACAGAAGAAAGTCCCCCTTAACTTTAGCCAGTATTGCAGTGTGGCCATTTAACTGCACAAAGTAGTTGTGCATCACAAGATGCTGTCATGGCATAATTTGCTCCCAACAGCTATTTATATGCTGTTCAATAACCACCCTCAAACATTCTTCAGTCTCTCTAAAGTTTTCATACCACATATATTTCCAGTGAATATGGGAAATGTGAGAAATTCTAGACTTAGAGATTAATGTGATATTCCACATTCATTCTTCCCAACATAAGAAATATGACATTTGTTTGCAGCTTTTCCAAGCACAAGAAACATGCTTTACTAAAACAGAGAGTGTACTATAAGCCTATTAGACTGTGTGAGAAGAAAACAACAAGCACAAAATAAATGTTATGTTGAAGGAATACTGAAGGAAACCAAGTAATTGTGGGAAGAGAGGAAGCTTAGAGAGGAATTACAGATAGTTTAGAAGTGTGTTAAATGCAAAGCTGAACTCCACATATTAAGCACAGGCAACCATAAAAGCTAATTGGTATAGATATGGATGATTATATTGTGGCACTCACAATTAACCTTTCAAATTGGGCCCCCATAGTGAACCAAAGGAGTGGCCCACTGCTGGAAAAAATGTGTATGAGCCTGAATCTGCCC